TGTGGAAAATCTTAATCTTCGTTCAGGTCTCATGTAAACGGGGTCTCACATGTTTTACAGCTCACCTAGTAAGGACAAAAACTTTCCTGAAGCCCAGTTGTGCGCGACCCATTTTTCAAATGATGTCTAAAAACATATATACACTCCATTAGCAAAAGTATCGTTTCCCAGGATCGTGTCTGGGGAACGGGGGGGGGGGTCTCTAAGACTATATAACTACCTACCCATACCAAAAGAATTCTCTAACAATACGTGTGCATAATATTAGAAGACATTTACTCTGTTCTAACTTCTTAATTTGATACAGTTTGTAGAGATCACACTCATCACAAAAGTAATAATAATTGATCAGCTAATTTTAAGAATTTTTTATCACTGCACATATAATCAAAATAGTGTAATGGAGGGGGGAAGAATACTAAAAAAATTAAGATTGGATAATTGTAGGGGGTCTGCAGGATCTCTCACAGAGAATTATTTGTATTTTTGAGTCCCTCTGCGTTGATTTCCCGCATTTTGGGCGACAATTACTGATTAACCCATCTGAGAAGAGTGAGGTCTGTTGTGAAAATATCATTTACCACTGCACAGTTCTCAATTTATCACTGAAAATTTCTCAATTTGTCACTGAACAATCTACTTTTATTACTGCACAAATTGGTTATCACTGCACACTAAAATTACGTAATGCGAGACATCTTTATTGCAGTATGCACATGTCCTGGGACCCAAATAGTGAAAGCAGTAGTACGAACGGGTGAGACAAAGGTGTTGGTGAGTTGGTCGAAACCTGTTCCCTCTTGTCAGACCACAGCAAGCCCAGATAATCCGAAAGATACCTCTGGCTGGTTCTGTGTTGGTGAACACACTCTGATGTACAAGTATACGCGAAATACCAGTTTATATATTACTGATATACTATGTCATGTGGAAATTCATGTTACAGGTAAATGCTTATTACATTCTCTGGGAATCTGGGAAATGTGTTAGCTTCACTGTTGAAAGAAAACCAAAATAGAATCTAAGTTTGATATATTTAATCACTTCCACATTTCCAGGATATCATTCCAGGAAGTCTTCAGCAGATCAACCTCGATGCACTTTATATCATCATTATATATTGTTATCTTTCAGGAAAGAATTGTGGTCGCACGGATTATAATCAAATGACTCATGTTTGCTGTTGTGGTGAAGTTCACAGGAAGAAATCTGACTTCAAATGCTGCAGCAAAGAATACTACAATCCTAATAACAAGAAATGTTGCCGAGGAGGGATCGTTGTCAGCTTTGGAGAACTTTGCCCTTAAAATCAATTTAACCTTACCTTTGTGTAGTGCATGTTGTAGTGTCGCATTAGACTAGCTTGTGATAGGCAGAAATTGCTGCGCAACTCACTGAACTTTTCTCGCCCACATATGATAATTTTCCTTATGATAGCTTTTGTACGTTTTCAGTTGCATTGAAGTGACTGTCACTTCTTCGTCAGCTATTAGGTTATTTTGTCTTAATGATTTCATATCATTAACTTAATTGCGTATCTCTGTCTTTTTATTGGGTATTGGGCTCTTGCAATGTTCACGAATCGCAGTCCGCTATTATTGGTGGCATGTTAGTATTTTATTGAGGCGATTACTGGTGACTGGTAACCGTATATTTTTAATTTGGCACTTGCAAGAGCTCAGGTCATAATTTAAACGCACTTTGGCCAGGTTTTCCCATGTAATCATCAACCAGGCATGGACCTGACATGCAGCACAATTTTTGTAATGTAAATGGATTTACCTAGTCTTTTTATCTTGTTTAATCTATTTTCAACTTAATAGTATGATCCATACTAGTATTACAACTTTACCACATCTAGGCTTCTAGTGTAAATTAAGGCGGCTATTGTCACATGTCCAGGGCCTAGCTCAGTAAAGTTCGTACTGTTAACAAGGTTTGAGTGTAAGTTCACACTTACATAATAACCAGTTGATGCTTAACAGTGGCGTAGCCAGAACGATAATTGGGGGGGGGGGGGCAATATTCATATATTCATGATACGCAGGTTTAATTTCTTTTCAAATCAATAGTCTTTAGAGTCTGTTAACATGAATATATGAATATGCCCCCCCCCCCAATTATCGATGCTGGCTACGCCACTGATGTGTAAACATAATTGAATTAGACACATTAGGTAATTTTGCTGACCAACGCCATCTGGTTTTTTAAATGCAATTTATAAAACATGCTTTGTACGAACGTGGATAACATCGTTTGTACGAATATTACAATCGTCATTCCACGAACGTATAGGTTTGGGTATTTGAAAAGAGGACCCTTTGGCTTTGAAAATTCATATTGTGATCTTTGGTTAGCTGTGTATGCTAATTTCCCTCATATTGCCATGTTTATGTATTCACAAATACTTGCAAATTTGCACTAATTAGAAAGAAAGATGTATAATACCTTTAAATATAAATATATGTGTATTTCAAAAGTTTAATTGCATTCATATTGAAGCCTATAGTCCTTATATATCAGAGACAGTTGGTGATGTAGCTATTGTTAGTGGCCGGAGACAAAGAAATTCATTAAAGATAGTGAGTTTTGTTCGAGCTTAAAGTCTCTAGGAAGCTTCAGGATTTGAAATTTGAGAAAAAATCACCATGTAACAGCCGCAATTTCACAAAGCTAAGCTTCGAGTCCATATTGTGGAAGGCACTTTTGTTAAGAACTATTTTTGAGATTTTCTAAATACCTATTCACTATTTTCATTAAATCCCATGATGCTGTGCGCGCGAATTCCTTGGGGTACTAAATCCCGCCAAAATCGAAACGTCGCCATTTTGGTTATTTTTGTACCCCAAGATATGCACGCGCACAGCATCATGGTATTTAGTGAAAATAGTGAATACGACGATTCTTACATATAGTTTCTACTAATAGTGTTTGCGGAATTTTTTCAAAATTATTTTGTGATCCATATAGACGAACTGTTAATTCGAATTGTGAATCCTATTGTAGTAAAACGGTGATAATTTTTGTCCGAAAGTAATTGGCGTTTTATGTTTATAGCTTACCGGACTTTTACTGTTGCACCAATCTTAATATAGTGTCGGTTCACCTCCTGAAAAAATAGTTACCTAAAAAAAACTAAGAAAGGTTAACTAAAAAATCATGTTTCATTTATTGATATAGATTTCGGAAGATATCATAGTTTAAAAATTAAGCCTTTTTTTACCGTAGCAATAATAATGGCACATACCGCCATCTTTGACTTTGATATTCATGTATGTCTTTGGTTATGCACGATGTCACAAGCGGAGTAAATTTATAATTTATTCAGCGCTTCTCGTGCCTTGTGAATGATGTTAAATACTAATCCATCGATCATGTCTTAAATTCACTCATATGCTTGCTACAAAGAAGCATCCACTTGTAATAAAAAGTTTTTCTCTGGTTGTGACGTCATTTAATTAGATTAATTATAAAACAAGATGGCGGACACCTCATTATAAATAATAAAACACGTGCTAAAATGCGATTGGGTAACAAAATAAAACAAGAGATGACAGATCAAATTCGTTAAATTTATATGTGACGTCATTTCGTGCGTCTGTCCTCTTAAGATCATGGCTCTCGACCAATGAAATTGCTTGAATTCTTTAACGTTGTTATATAACACAAAATAAACACATTGAAGTTCTTATTCTTATTATTTGAAGTTTTTTACTTACTGTGTGAAAATTATTCATCTATTATTTTGCGGGGGAGGCTAAGCCCAATTAATTTCTGGGGGGAATAGCATCCGGAGGCGCCAGGTTCCACCACTGTTTGCCATGCATACTGAGCTGGGTTTTTTTTACTTTTTCTCTTTTTAACGGTCTTTTCATCGCTTTTCAATCAACGTTATGCTTGGTAGTTGGGAAACCTGAATATTATGAACATTAGCTTATTTTGGTAAATAATTCTAAACCGAATACTGATACTGGACTCAGTTATTTGACTGTTATAGACTTATAGTTTATTTTATAAATATTAATGTAGAATGGACTATTATTACACGAAGTTGTTTCGTCTCATATTTGAGCCCGCATTGACTTTAACATATCTATGATAATGCATGTTTCGACCGCTATTTTCTTATCATTATATTTGTTAACTACATAGAAGAAAAGTTTAAGTTAGTTAAAGCCAAAATATTTAATCTTTTTATTCAAATATGGTTACGACAAAATGTTAAAAAAAACACACACACACACAAAGAATATTTGTGTAAATAAGTGCTAAATTTTTAATCGAAACTTCAAATATGAACACCATAAGGGATGTATTTACCCTGTGTTTGTTCTCGTTTTCTTCAGGCTGCATGAATTAATTGAAAACAAGCTAATATACCTCAATTATCAAATAAAAGAGACCTAGCTATGTCAGAATATGTAAGTTGGGCGTGCATGCTTGTAAAATATTAAGTGTCATGGTTAGAAAACCAGATCTCTTCGTGTTACGTGTTAGGATAGAGGACAAATTGCATGTATACTATATTATATGGCGCACGTCATTGTAAGTACTATACAGGGTGTCTAAAAAACGAATACTATTGAAATCACTCATTGTTAAAATTTGAATGCCGTGTTTTAGCCCGTGGGGATTCAATGCAACTTATAAAATGCTAAATTTGAAATTGTGAACAACACTGTAAAAAATGAATGGTTGAAACAACCAAAAAAAAAAGGTTCTCCTGGATGCAACCAGGACAACCAATTAAAATTTGGTTATTTTATTACCAAATTCATTTTGGTTAAAATTACCAATATTAATATTGGTTGAATCTACCAATATTTAATAGGTTGATGTAACCTATATTGAATTTAATTAATGTAACCAATGTGCAATGGTTTTTTTGACCAATTATTTCAACCAATTAAAGATTGGTTAAATTATCCTGAAATTCAGAGCACTTCAAATCAAATTTTGTCAAAACACACATATATATTATAAAAGATCTAATAAATAAATTATCCTAATGGTTATTTGCATACATATATACAAATTACTACATTCAAACACTTATCTTACTAGGATTCATCTATCTATACTTAAGTCATTTCCAGGTTCTCAAAGCTGCGGTAAAAAGTTTTTAACTCCAATTGGAATGTTCGTTTTTCCGTCTGTTTGTAGTAATATCTGGTCCAGAAGAAGGAACACATTCTTTGTCTACCCACCTCCATCTTTAGGGTTCTCTGCGTTGGATACATACAATGCAGTCAGCAAACACACAACAGCATTTAAGATGGAAAACTGCTTAAACTTTATTGCTACCATGCCTTCAGCCAAAAGGTCTAGTGAATGGATGTCACCAAGAGATCCAGTTAATAGCAACTTCGGGAATGTTCTTTTTTTTACAATGGTCTAAATTTCAACACCACTGTCATCCTAAAATAAAATTTAAAAATTATAAAACTTTATATTCCTAAGCTTGGAAATAAAACATTTACATATGCGAAAAATCCTGGGACACAAAAGAGCAAGACCCTACACTTGACAAGCAGCCACTTGGGCATATTTTTAGTTCTTATGGAGTAACTCTTGAACTATAGTTTAATATTTACAGGGACAATTTCCCAAAATAATTGTCCAGGTCTTTCTCTGCCTCAACTGATGCAGCGGGGCAGTGTAGATGCAATGGTTTTCAATTTCTATTAAATAAGTTTGATTACAAGATTCAGCAGGCAACATAATAAATGTGATTTGCATAGTTCAACATTGTATATTATATACATATATATCTGTAGATACCTTTTTCTAGTTCGGGTGACAATCCTCTAATAGACCAATAATTTGTTGGACATCTTTGTTCTTCTTCTTTTCCAGAGCAGCCAGCATTGATGGCTTCTTTGAATCAATGTTTGGGCATCTTAAACATGTGCATCGAAATGATGCTCTACACACAGAAAAAGTAAAAGTCAACAATTAGCTAAACCAAGATATGTATATAAGATATATTAACTTCCACAAATAGTTACTAACAATTACTACTTACCACATATACTCTTAACTTTCTCTGGGTCGAGTTGGGGTTTTGCATCCTTTTCTTTAAAGACATTTGAAAGTTTCCCAGGGATGGAATGAGAGCAAAGTTGTTCTTGCATCCTCGACATGCCCATAATTGCATAAACCAAATTTTGACCTTTGGTTAATATGTTTGGATATAAGAAAATCTGTAAATTTTAACAGTAAATATGAAATTTAAACATTTGACACCTTATTCATTCTTAGCATGATGCCATGATATAGCTATAGAATTTATAAATGTACTGCAAAAGCATTGACAGAAATTGTAATGGCCCTATTTATAATGATATAAAAAAAGGTATATTTATTATCTATATGATTCACCAGAAGTAGGATTTGCAGTTGTTGAGTTTTGACAGCATAAATACAATAATACTTGCCATTTCTGATTCAGCATCAGAATTTGAGGATTTCTGATTCAGCATCAGTCACAAGAATCTTGCACTTAAAGGTGATCTTGAAGCCTTGATGGAGTGAATAAAGTAATCTTTTAAATGACTCAGTGCATGGTTATATATAGAGGGCATTTCATATTTAATTAATACTAGTAGGCATGTGACAGCTAGACAAAGTTTTGAAAAAGTGTCCAGCAGCCATACAAAGTCTGATCTGAAAAAATAGTCAATATTTTAAATATAAACATATACTATATACAAACACACTCACCACTGAATTATAATACTTTAGCTGTACACATGTTGTTGTTGAAATTGTAGATAGTTGAATGGAACCTTTGATTATTTTCTTATCAACTTTAGAAATTCCACATGGCCATGACACAATTACTTCTTCCTCGCGATCACAGTCAGTATTCACAAATAATCCGGATCTCCTCGCATATTAATCCAGCGTGTTTCACCAATTTCGCATGACTACTCATTGACAAATTCAAATAACGCGTATTTTATGTTAAAATACGAAAGAAAAACTCACTAAATTCTACTATAAAACCTTGAACTGATGACAAAGAGTCAAAGACGCGCTCAAAATTTGAAAATAAAGCGTGTCGGTTATACAAGTCCCACATAACCTTGCGGTCCTTTTTGGGCAAAACGCCCGCCACCTAACCTGCGAACAGGTATATTATGAAAACAGTTTACAAATAAGTGTGAAATATGTGTGATTTGTCCTTACAAAACGAGTGATTTTTGCTGAGAATTTTAACTTTAAGATTTAATATTCTTTTGGATTTGTAAATTCTATAGAATACGGCAATGGAATTCTATATAGCATAAGATCATACGAAGTCCTATAGAATATTCTATAGCCATAGGATTTAGAATGTGCTATAGCATTCTAGCATATTCTATTGGATTCAATAGAACATAGAACCAGAGGTCTACAAATATACCCCATTGACCACAAAGATTAATTGGTCAATTTAACCAAATTTTATTTGTTGCTACTAAATATATTTGGTTGTTTTTACCAATATGAGCTTTCATATCCATTTTACCAATTTTTTATTGGTTATTTCTACCATTTTAATTTGGTTTTAACCAATTTAATTGGTTGAAACAACCATTTTATATGGTTGCAACCTTTTTTTTTGGTCATTTCAACCATTCAGTTTTTACAGTGAACGAGTGTTTATTGTACGTGATATTATCCCAACATACAGTAGTGCTTAGGCATTCAAACGCGGGTTGATCATGTGTTGTGACAAATGACAAGACATGCCAGCATTAAAACCGTTGTAATATGGCAATATTATAAACCTGAAAATGTCATGCAGCTCGCAAGATGTAAATAAATATGGCCGATATCACTGTTTGTTGTCGTACGGTTTGCTGATTCAAAATACGGCTTATTTTGCCTCCTTGTTATTGTTTGAACACTCTCCTATCAACCGAGTTAGTGGAAAACATTATACCAATTTGGCAAGAGAATATTGAAGACGGATGGACAGGTGGTAAGCCGTGTCTTTCTAATATATTTCTCGCGTTTTGACTGTGCGAACAAGACTAATTAAATATGCGCTTTTTATGACCCGCGCGTGTTGTATTTAGTTTCTGGTCATGTGAGACACCATTGCTTTTCAATAAAATATTGCTAAAAATTCTTAAGAGTTTCTTTATAATTCCTGTGAAAACAAAAGGCAACAAAATATCGTGTGAATTTATTCAAACGTTTACGTGAATTCAGCAATAAATTTCTACAATTTAACGCTTTATTTCACAATCTAAAATAGCATGGTCGCGATAAAAATATTTTAAACAACTAATGCATGACCCTACTATTCAAATTACCTTGTAGTGAACTGTCGATTCGACCACTTTTTTTGTTACGTTAGTAGTAGTGCTACAATATAAGTTAAGTTCAATGTTTGATTGCTCTAACTATAACCGCTAGTTTTCCAACCCAAAATAGTGGGGGAATGTTGCGAAAGACAAATTGTACGAAATATGACGTCATATTGTGTGGTGGCGCTAGAGGAGGTGCAAGGAGGGTCTCAGTTTCATGTGATATTTCGCTTCAGTCTTACACCGTAAAGCATTTCTTTATCCTCCAATTTATTGCAACCAGGTGCCGCGACTTGTCATAACTATATACTATATCACGAAGCCTATATAGGTTTCCATTAGGTTTTCCATGATAAATATGGTCACATCACTCACATGCATGCCATGGGCCTGAAGTAGGTTCTGAGTTTGGCACCATACGCGTACAACCCATTGATGCGAAAAGGCGATTCTCCATTACGTCCGCTCTGCCCTCGCGGGCGAAGCGCGCATTTGTTTTTCAGGGCAGTCACGGTCGAATGGACAGATTTTCAAAAGCCGTTTCGCCCGCGCGGGTGAAGTAATGGAGAATCGGAGAGTAATGGAGAATCGCCTTAAACGAACAGAAGCGATATGAATTTATGAATCATGTTAATGCAATGCATGCAGTAAGGAATGACACTTTTTTTATTCGAATTCCAATTAAAATTTTCGGCCTAGCGTTGCCCTAGCTTTGAACTAGATTTTTGTTTTAAAAATGAATGTTAAAAGTATGTTAACAAGTTGAAGATGTTTGTAACGGGAAACAACAATGGAAATTATGATTAGGCACAAATATATGCAAGATATGCAATTCTTGATTGTTTATGTATTGCGTCCTCTTTTACGTGCACGCTGAGAACGCTGGGTTTATTTTGTATTGTTGCGACTATATACTAAGAAAATTGAAAAAAGATCGATCGACTGATTGCTGAACTTAGTTTTATTGTTCACCGCACTTTATCGCTCTTTACAGCTGATTTTATTTGTTTTATGTGAAAGGCCATTTTTCCCCGTTTGTAAATACCTGGAAATGAAAAGCGGAGCAGTCACCCTTGCCGCCCCACATAGCTCCGCCTTTCCAATATCACAACGTCATACCACTCATTTAACACATCAAACTAAGGAGACGACACGAGAGAACAGATGGGAAGCTTGCTCTCAATTCTTTAAAAACAGTATTTCCTCGTTTAACTCAGGAAGACCTAAGCATATTAATTGTCATTTGATGAAATCTAAAGCTTCGAAAGTTTATTTTCAAGATTGCTAGACAGGTATTTATGTGAAAAGTGTAACTAAATGTAAATGTTCCTCAAGTTTGAGCTTCCAAATAAAATTTTAATAAATTGCTTGCCGCCTGACTCTACTAATTTTGTTGACTTTTCTATTATATAACATAAGGTTATGCGCGCAAGCGTAACAAGTCCAATGGGACATCCTGATAACAAATTAACAGAACAACTAGTCCGTCGTAGACGTGTTTTTGTGTGTGTATAAAATCAACACGAAATTGTTGTAGCAACCACACCCCGGTATGTGTCTACATGATTTATTTATAGAATCATCCCTTGTTTGAAAACTGTAGAGGATGATCCCTTGTTTCATCGAAAATCATCGATCGAGAACCTTGGGTGCGAGGTTGCCCCAATTATTCCTCATGTAGATTTCATGCACGAGGGAAGTTTAGAAGATAAGTTTGCATAATATTTCTCCAAACATCAAAACTGAAAAAAAAATTAATAATAATATATATATATATATATATATATATATATATATATATATATATATATATATATATATATATATATATATATATTTATATATATATATATATATATATATATATATATATATATATATATATATATATATTATATATATATATATGAATTTAGAATCATATATGAGTAGAGTGCATAAGAGCGTATAAGAGTAGTATTTAAATTCACCTGATGAGTGTGGCAAGCACTGCTTGTTATACGAAACAAATTTGTATTGAATAAAATCATAGGAAGTAAACCAAGTTTATTGTATTTTATATCGTCTAATATATATATATATATATATATATATATATATATATATATATATATATATATATATATATATATATATATATATATATATATATATATATGTATATATACAGGTACATTTCGTGTTTATTTATCTCTTTATCTTGATGTTAATGAAACATATGTCCGACAATTATATTGAAAATTGCGTGCGTGTCAACGACAACGTACTCAACAAGCTCCATTTACGTCACAAAGACAATCCATTAATCAAGTGCCCTGTCCTTCAGTGTCGCTCTCATCTAACTTGAACGTATTGTTCCCGTGTTTAAAATTTTCTACAGTGGCAACATGAGTGGCACCAAAGCGCTACAATTGGGAGAGTGGGCATATTCGTATATTCATATTCTGCATAATCAATTTCTTCTCAAATCATTTACTGATTTTATTAATCAAGCTAAAAAGTAGCTATAATTCAGCCAATTAGAGTTGGGAATTCTTGAAATTAAGATGCTTACCATGCATGTATTATCAACATGTCACATACGTCCAGTTGCATTTGATCTGCAGCTGATTGGATTAAAGAACACCGACAATATTGAGGTAGTTTCCGACCAATGCGACCACAATTTAAAGGTATAGGCTCTAGTTCTCTCTCGATCGATTTCACGAGAAAAAAAATTAAAAGGCATGGCAGATATGATTCAGTCTTTCACTCCCTTTAACGATGGTAGGTATTTTTATCGTTTATTATTCGTTTGCATCATGCGCTCACTCGTGAGTCACTCGCGCATTTTTGCCACTTGAACATATACTCTATATCTTCGAGAGGACCGTGCAATGTTCTGTTTATCATATGGACAAAATTAAGAAAAAAATACGTATAAAGACTACAAGAAAATAAGCCGCGAAAGACGACGATAAAAGCGAATGTTTTTTAAAGTATAGCCCGAACATAAAAGTAGAATAATTTTACTTATCTA